ACCGAGCCAAATTTCTACAGCTTTGCGGGCTGCGCTTTTCTCTCTGCGCTTGGGTCTTCTGCGCTTGGGGCCTTAGCATTGGCCTATCTGCCGCTTGGACCGTGACCATGCCCAAAGCGCTAGTGTTCCACATGACACCCCAATTGTTTTCTGCGCTTTGGCGGCAGTGCTTTGGCCTCCTTCGCTTCGACCACACACCTTAAGACTTTTAACACCCTTCCACACCGCTTTCCACAGCTCCATGCCTGCCTCCTCCTCAGAGTATGCCTATAAAGTACTCTCTACAGCGCTCTCATCTCACCCCCGCTCCCTAGATCTCCGACGCATATGCCGTTCTCCGACTCGCCTAATGCGCGCTCCAAATCAATCACCATCGCAGAGCTCGACACCCATGGTGTATGCACTCCCCTCCGTCCCTCCGTTCTCCCTCTAATACATCTCCTAGATCCTCAACCGCCATGCAACCAAAAACCCCGCCTACCAAGTTGGCATTTCCGAGGACAAGGGCTCGCGCCGCACAATGGAGGATGCCCACTCCTTCGTCGTCGACTTTGGCGGCGTCCGCGGCCAGGGCTTCTTCGCTGTCTTCGACGGCCACGCCGGTAAGCACGCCGCAGAGTGGTGCGGCACCAACTTCCACGAAGTACGTCATGGCCGCTCCTTTCCGTGGCTCGCCAACTCATGCCCCTGCCAAGTATCTTCTGGCATCCCTGAAGCGGCTCCACCCCATGCCCATTCCAGACGTCCTCAACCAGACATTCCATGACGTCGACGAAAGCCTGTCCCGTATGTGCGAGGAATCTGCCGGCAAAATTCATTCCGGTTGCACCGCAGTCACCGCTTTCCTCCGCATAGAAGATGCAGATGGCCACCAGTCCTTCCTACCCGCCTCGCAGGACAGCGATGACCTCGGGAGCGTCAGCAGTGAGAGTGCTAGTGCATCAGGTGACGAGGGCAAGAGTTCAGCCAACCCAACACCCAAGAAAAAAGCGCGTCGCTCGCTGACAGGCGGCCGTCTCCGCAAGGCGTTCAAGAGCCTTTCAAGCGGCTCCCTCTCTCCCAAAACACCCCGCTCCCAATCTCCAACCACCAAATTCACCGCCGAAGGTGCTACCATTGCCATTCCTCCCACCGCAGCACGGCGCGTGCTATACAGCGCCAATGCGGGGGATGCAAGAGGCGTGCTCTGTCGCGCAGGCAAAGCCGTTCGCCTGACGTATGATCACAAGGGATCCGACAAGCAGGAGGCCAAGCGTATAACGGACGCCGGCGGCTTTGTCATGAGCGGGCGGGTAAACGGGGTCTTGGCTGTGACCCGCAGCCTCGGTGACTCGTCGATGAAGGAGTTTGTGGTCGGGGCACCGTACACGACGGAAACAGAGCTCTGCGACGAGGATGAATTTCTGATTTTGGCCTGCGACGGGGTGCGTCTGCCTGTTGGTTTCATCTCTCTCTTTACTGACTGTGGTGCAGCTTTGGGACGTGACTAGCGACCAGGCCGCCGTGGACCTGATACGTGGCGTCGACGATGCGCAAGTAGCAAGCCAAATGCTGCTGAAAGATGCAATCGCCAACCACACCTCGGACAACATAACCGTGCTCGTCGTGCGGTTCAAGAACATGCTGCCGAGCAGCACCTAATCGATCCCAACAGACCCATTGTAACTTGATATATTATTCGGGCTTTCTTTAGTATACATACAACTGTGACTAGTACGTGACGTGATGAATTGCCAAGGAGGTGTCGATCACCCACCGGGATCGAGCATCGACCGCCCAAATGCAGTGTAATGACATGAGGACGGCTTGCACCTTTCAACTCGTACCACCATAATGTCCAACTACCCCCCGTACGGATATCAGCCTGGAGCTCCCCCGGGGCCAACGCCCCAATACGCCAATCAATATCAGCCCCCCTCTCAACCATTTTACAACGACACCAAATCACCCTATGAAAATGATAGGTTCAAGCCTAAGAAAACAATAAACGACCCCATTGTGCTTGTGATATTTGTGCTCCAAGTGCGCCGCCTGTCGTCGCCCATCGCTCCCGCCTAATTCTCCCTCAGTTTCTTGGCTTTGCGGCCATTTCTGGTATTGTCATTTCTTCCTGGGTCAAGAATGACGGCCTCGGTGGCGGCCTTGGAAGTGACAACACCGGAACCTCCGTTACGCTCAACAAGAGCACCGTGTACCTCCTGCTCCTGGTCACAGCCGCCGCGTTGTTGCTGTCCACCATATATCTCATGATCGTCCGCGCCTTTACGAAAATAGTCATGCACATAACTCTAATCCTCAGTATACTCCTCAATATGTTGGGTTTCATTCGTCTGGTCGTCGTTCCCTCTCTCACTCCTATCTTGCAGCGCAGTTTGTGGTAGGCTTCCACATATTAATATTCCTTGTGGCCGTACTCAGTTACTATCAAAGTCTATTATTGGTTGACGAAATACTACTGTGGGTATTCTTACTGCTGTCCTCATACCGCTTAACACAGGCTACTTTTAGCTGGGGCCATAATGCACGTTTGCGACTTGTTTCGAGACCTGATATTAACATCGTTTCAGTTTCACTGTTCTAGCCCTCTTCTCTATCCTTTCCTATTATGGGTTCAAGTCGCGAATCCCGCTGGCGTCGTTGCTGCTTCAGGTCGTAATGGACGTTAGCAAGCACCACAAATCTGTCTACGTCGTCGCATTTGTCGCCTTGCTTCTTCAAGCCGCATTGGCAATGTATGTCCCTGGTCCACCTTCCATCTCATATTGCTTATATTCCCTAATAGTTGGTTCACCTTCACCGCGATCGCCACGTAAGAATGCCCTTGATTCGTTGAGCGTAAACTCAAGCTTTTGCAGCTATACTAAATGGACGCCAGGAAATGGGAATCCTTGTTCGTGTTTCCTTTTCCTACCAGGCGGTCAGATATACTCACTCCCTTTCCCAGCTTGCGAAACCACTTCCTGCTCCTCCGGAAAAGTTGCTGGTCTTATTTTCTTCGAGGTGTTCTCCTTCCTGTGGACCTCGCAAGTGATTGGGAACGTTTCCCTCGCAACACTGGCCGGAGGTGCGTCGATATATGATTCACACCGCATCTAACTAAATTAACCCGAGGTCCGTATGGCTGCTGGTATTATTTCGGGCCACGAGGGGAAGGTGACATGGTAGGAGTCATTCAACCATGCGGCCAGTGCTACTGCTCACTGCGCTCTGCAGCCCAAGCATCCGACCCTAACTGCTTTTGGCCGTGCCTCGACCTTGTCCCTCGGCTCCATTGCATTCGGATCTCTGATCGTGACGCTGCTCGAACTTCTGAAGATGGTGCTCCACGCGGCCCAAAACTCCGCGAATGCCGACGGGCACCGTAAGCAGTAGCCTTGGTTCGCCTCGGTGCTTCCGCTCATATTTTTTTGCAGCTGTCGAAGCATGTCTGGCGTGTTGTGCCTCGTGTTTTGTTGGCATTATAGAAAGTCTTGTGGAGTATTTCAATCGGTGCGGTCGTCGCCGCCTTTTTTTCGCACTGTCTAAACTCCCGACCCGCTCGCTAGCTACGCGTATATTGAGATCGGTTAGCTCGGATGCTCTTACCGAAGCTACTTCGTTAATATTGCTCTAGCTCTTTACGGCAAGCCTTACATTACTGCAGCAAAGGACACATGGAGGCGCGCGTTTCAAAGTCTGTATTAGTTGATATTCTCATCCTCTGCAGGCTGCTCCAAGACCGTGGTGTTTCAGCCATTGTCAACGATTCGCTGGTCGGGATGAGTGAGTGCTACGCACATTATGTGTTTACGCAATGCTGATCCTCCAAAGCTTTGACCTGGGGTGGATATGCCGTGGGCATGCTTTCCTCGCTGTTCGCATACCTGTATCTACGCAGTGCGTATATTTTCTACGTCTTCAATACTCGTTTCCTGAGACGACTACTGCAGTCACTGCGCCGTCGTACAACGCCGACGGGAATTACACCGCTCCTGTGATCTTATTTGCATTCCTCATCGGACTCCAATGCTGTGAGTCCTTCCTATAGCTGGCGCTTTCGCCCCAAGCTGACGCTATGCATGCAGCCTTGACGCTGTCGTCCGCCATCGAGGCTGGAGTATCAACGATGTGCGTATTTATTCGCTCCAATCTAACCATGCCTTTGAACCAACACCACATTGTCGTTCACAGCTTCGTTGGTTTGGGCGAAGACCCCCAGGTCCTCGCGATACGGGCTCCCGCATTATTCGCAGTAAGTCTCGAATGGATTCGACTCATCTCGTATACTCAACTCGCGCGCCGCAGCTAATTGCCCAGACGTACCCCGATGTTGTACAAGGGGTAATGTAGTATGTACGAGTACAGATGATGAATCTCGGCGGTTTTGTTTACTATCGGAGTTGAACCTTGGTGGCCTCGTGCTTTGAAAGCAAATCAGCCCAGATCCTATAGAAATGATACCCAAGTCTCACGATATTTGAGTGTTCAAAAAGCGCTGTGCTAGTCATCTCTTCCGCATTGTAATTCGCTGCTTCTGCGAATATAGAAGTTTAGTTTTTGGGACCGAATTGAGGCCAACTAGATTTTGCTAGCTTTGAATCAACTTGATGGAAAAACCGAATATTGATTTCCTCGTCGGCTCAAATGCCACCTGTACCCTCTAGAAACTTGCTAATTTAGACACTCCGTGCATCCTAAATACGTCTCCCAATTTATTTCAAGACAATTATTGTGCGCCGTCGAGGTCACGAGATCAACATTCATGGGATTTGATGGCATTTATCGTCGTGCCAAAGTGCGCTCCCTGGGCGCGTACCTGCTTCAAAAATTAAGCCACCATAAATCCACTATCTACGTATCGTATTAAGACTGCATACCAAGTCTAAAGGGAAACTGGCAAGATATGCAGACGCAGAGTCTATACAAGTCCATTCAACTATCTTGCTGACCGAGAGTCCCCCGCTTTTCTTTTCATGCGAGGACAAAGTTGAGAAGAGTAGGAGAGCAAAAAGAGAGACATCTGTCCGCGGCGTGAGTCGAACACGCGGCTTCGAGGCAGTACGCGTGTTCGATTTACGCACCCGTTGACCACAACGAGATGATTTAACCACTAATCGACGCAGACGCCAGGAGCCCTCCCGATTGTTATGTTAACTGCCAAGCTGTGGGGTGAATTAATGCAGCATTAAATCTATCACGCGGAGCCGGTTCTGCTCCCGGGGCATTTATTATTGGCACCTTTTTGATTTTATCTTGTTTGGTGCCGCCCAGTAAAATGCGTCGACTTTCTTAAGTGAAGCGGAGGTCAGAGGTCGTCTGGATGAGCGTCGAGAAGTGCACACGCGTCGGCGCTGGCTGAAGTCGCGTCAGTAGTATCCAAGGCTCATCGGCATTTGCCGAACATCAAGGTCACGAGGTCGAGAAGCGCGGCGTCATTTGTGACCTCGACCTTGCAGCGAATGGACTCAAATAGCAAATCAACAGGACGCCGCAGTAAGAGGCTCTCTCTCTTTCATTCCATCTCCTCGCACCCAGAATGAGAAAAACCTCATACGCTGTAACTGCTGTTGCAGTCATTTTTACGACCGTGTTGACTGTTCTATGCCTAACCCGCAATGACTGGTTAGTATGCGCTTGACAATACTGAAAAGCACTCTAACACGCGGTCGCCGTATGGAGGGTGGTGACCAGATACGAGCTGGGCGAATCCAGCTACGAGGCGAAGTACGGGCTATCCAAGGAATGCGCACGATTGATGGTGCAGTTCCCTGGACATGGGTCCCCGAGGGTCGAAAAGCCTTTCGACTGTCGCAAGTTCCCAACGCGCAAGCAAGACAACTGTGACGAAGAAAACCAATTTTTTTGCGCAGCCTGGACCAGGTAATTCATTTTACTAGCCAGATACTTATGCGAATCTGACGGACTTTAGTGCCGGTTATATGGTTGAACTGGCGATTGGCTTCGGAGCCCTATCGTTGGTTTCCATTGTGATAGGTTTGAGCACGCACTCTAGACGACGAAGAATCTGGCGAGCTGTAGCTGGTCTCGTCATTCTTCATTCCCTTCTGCTGCTCATAGCATTTGCCCTTGTGGTCGACATGTATCGCACTTCCCGATATCCTACATTCGACCATGCCAAGCTTGGTCAGTTTTGTCCAACAAAATCACTAGCTCTAACTCACACGATGCAATAGGTCCAGGCCTGATTCTCAACGCCATTGCTTGGGTATTCGGGGTCATCACCGCAATTTCCCTCGTCGTGACCGGTATGGCAGCGGATCGTGGAAAACGATGGGCGGCTGGAAACAGGGCATACCAGCCTATTCACGGGTAATTAATACATGGGCAACAACCCCCCGCTATATACATTGTACTTATGAAGGCATTCCTTTCCTCATGTTATCGAAACGACTCTTCTCGTAATGTAACCAGTTATGACTCCGGTCCGGCTCACCCATCGCCTCCCCAATGACTTTGACCAAACTCCTGCCAGGTTGGGGATCTTTACCAGGACCTCCGTCCATCCCTTCGCGAGGGGACCCTTTGTCTCCGCTTAGCTCCCACACCATAGCACCTATCGAGCGAGGAACGAGTTAGAATCAATAAAGTGTCTGTCAAGACTAATGGCACCTCCTAGTCCTTCTGTTCGAATGTACTCCCCTTTCCACCTGGCAACTTCTTCTGTGTCAAAGCTCACCATTTCTTTCTTTTCATAGTCGTATGTCCAGCTCGCCATCGCTTTCTCATCCCTAAAAACGTGGGAACCAGGAAGAGGGAGGGCTCTGTAGTCATACACTCCTGTCTCCCAGCTGCCGGGTCCAATTCTGACATGATATGGAGAATCAGAGGTGGTCCGACCAGAGAAAGTAATATTTAGCAACCCATTAAAAGGCTTTCCGGGGCCCTCTGTGTTCATGAAGCTACGCCCGTACAATGGTATTCCCATGATGATTTTCGACCGCTCAACGCCTTGGGAAGTCAGAACGAGGAAGGAGTGAGCCAAGTAAGAAACGACTAACCTTGCGATATGTACCAATTAATCGCTATTGAAGCGCTAATGGGCCCACCAAAGACATTCGCCTGGTGATTGGCAATGCTATCCCAAGAACCCGCTGGAAAACCAAATAAGTTATCACTCGATGTTTTCGAAAGGGCTTCCGACTGACAAAAATCATATGCCATCATGTTCCAGAAGTCCAGGTGCTTGTCCATTTCCTTTACCTGCAATTTCTGGTAGTTGTCAGGGCCGCATGGAGCAGCAATCTGGGAATGGTGAGAAAAGCGTCGGTCTCTCTATTATCGGAACAGACGGTAAGTAGGAACTTGTAGTCGGCGCCCTTGGTGTGTGCATGCGCATCCAGGCCTTGCCTCAGCTCCTTGAGCAACTTGGTGTATCCCACAGCTTGTTCGTGCGATTGCGGGTACTCGTAGTCTATGTCTAACCTGTATAGTGAGCGAGGCACGAACGTTTTGTTAGTACAGCGTCTGTCAAGAGAGACGATGTCTAACCCATCGAGGCCAAAGTTCTCCTGCACCAGAAAAGAACAGAAGTGAGCTGGGGAGCTGCGCGCCGTCGATAAAAACGACGTGCCAATAATTCGATGGATGATCGGACAAAATTTGCACGCAAGTTATCCGAAACGACAACAGGATGAAACCGAGGACTGTACGTCCAGCCGCCAATGGAGAGGAGAACCTTCATATGCCGGTTCTGCTTCTTCAAATTATATATGGCTTTGAAGTTCCCTGGATATATGGTCCATATCGACGATCGGAGCAATCCCTGGAAACGAACATACCGTAGAGGTTGTCTCCGCTCTCGTTCCAGGAGTCGCCTGGATAATGGATGTCTTTGTCGGCGTACTCATCGGAAAGAAACACCTCGCCCGTCTCCTTAATGTTTGCAAAGGCGTACAGAATGTGCCTGCGGCTAATGTTAGACAGCGGCAACGATAGCAAGTGGGATTTCTACGTGAGGTCATGAGGGATTAGGGACGGCGGAAACTTTCTTCCATAAATGCCCCTTGAGTCAAGCGAATTGTGAGTACCAGAATCGTTGAAATAGGGATGCAGTACCAGTTGACGAAGCTGGATGCATAGGTCAATTCGATGAAGACTGCGCTTGTATGTAGCACGCACTAGCCCACGGTGTATTTTCCATGTGTCATGTTGTGCGAATCCGAGTCTTGGAAGATGAGGTCCGCAAGAGAGCTACGGGTTGGCTGTTTCAACCAAAAGGATAATAGCACAGAGATGAGGATAAAAGAGGTCGTGAAAATAAATGTTTTAAGCTTTCGTCGTGGTTGCGGTTGAACCGACATGCAATGGGTGACGTCAGGACGCCGGACCGTGGTCCGCCCAACTACTGCCGCGCATCGTGAATTCTGAGAAATTATTACAATACATACATATATAGTGTATCCAAGATCACTAGTACTAGCCAATGTCAAAACCGTGTCCACGCTATACTCTACTAATACAGTTAATGGTTGAGGGTCAGCACTGTCCAAGGAACGATGACTTTGGGAAGGGCTGTTGGAAATCATCCCTATCATTCAGGGTTATACACGTCTTTAGTTTTGTTCAAGAGCACATACCTCCAGGTGGTGAGGTTGGGGTTCGTGTACGCGTCAATGTAACTATGGCGAATGTTAGAAGAGTCACCAACACACAAAACAGCGCTCACGTATTAATATAATCCGATGTCGGAAAATTGGGAGGTGAGCAACTTGACAAGCAAGGAGTCAGAAAATGCTCTGATAGTCGATCAAGACGACGGTATTACCCGACATTGATAGCACTCTTGGGTTGATATACGCGTATATAGTCAATCGCAAGGTGGCAGGGAAACGGAAGATGGCCGAGGTCTACAGGACCGAAATTCGTCGACATTCCAAGATTCGCGATCAGGTACTGCAAGTAACTCAGGATCGGTATCGTTGCCGGAATAGGCCAGATTACGCACCATAGGCTCTTGCGGTACTGGTCTGGCAGAGATTCCGACAGTTGGATCAGCGCCCACGCCGCCAGAATTTATCGTCCAAGCAATCTTGTTGTTGGAGATCCATGTTATATACTACGGACGGTTAGTTAGTTGTCTTTCAACCAAAAAAAGAGACTTACAGCATTATCAAACCCGGGCGTATACTGTCAGAAAAAGACTTGTAAGCCGCAAAGAAAATCGGACGTAGAAGTAAATCCACCTCGAATGCATAGATCGAGAAACAGCCACCATTTTGTTCGTAACAAGCTGGGTCTGTGTCAGTAACGACGGACGTCGCCTGTTGGGTCACGCTTCCGGTGAAAGTATTGAGTGAGGAAATTGAAGGATCTGCGACAACGAAGTTGTCCGAATTGTTGAGCCATACGTATCCCTGAAAAACAGTAAATGAGTTGACTGACAAACCGAGACGGAGGGTGGAGACCGACCGCATCAAAGGGAGCCCATTGGGCACTTTGGGAAACCTGTGAGATACGATCTGCGGTAATCTAAAGACATTGTCAACGATGGCCGACCGGTGAAAACTTTATCAACCTGTGCTTCGAACACGTCGATTTCGGGGGCTGCACGCCCAACGAAGGACCCATCGGATTTTTTGGGGCCAGGATGGCTCTCTCCTGGACAGGTACAGGCAGAAAGCTTTTGCCCTGGCAGCCAGGAGAGTGCCCCGCCTTTGCCTTTATCGCCGTTGATTGTTGCTGCGTGGGGCTCGCCGTTGAGTGTTTGATTCGGAGCGGTACCAACGTCGCACGCGTCTCTCGCCTTGTAAGCCGAAAAGAAATGCGATGAGTGGAGGAAAGAAGCATACCATATGTGTACGGCCACATGCCCTCGAGACTTGCCCCGTACCCTGCACGGCCCAAATTCCCCATGGTCCACACCTGTAAAAGGAAGAATGGTTGGACATTGTGATCACAAGCTATACAAGCAGTTTACTTGCAGCAGGCCAGAGCCCTAGGATGTTGTTCGCCCCAGGAAGTCGCACGCTAGTCTCGACATAACCGCCGGTGAAGCAGAATTTGTTCCTAAGCTACGGTTAGAAAATTAGGTTCTGGATTTTACAAGTGCTGCACCATGTGGAAACAAGTCCTAAGGTAAAACTTAGATAGGTTTGTGGACGGAAA